AGAATATGTCTGGCCCTTCTGATCACTTGTAACTTCATTACTCTTGCCTGGGCTATTTACGGCATCAAATTCCTAACTTGTCTCGGAAAATGCGACTAAAATGCAAACTATCTCCTGCGATTGCGGCACAAGCATTGCTGAGGTCGTGACAATGGGCTGCAAGTTTGACACGCTGTCGGCATCATGGCTACAGTCCGTATGTCGTGATGACGAACTCACGGCCGAGTTTGACAGATCCGGCCCCGACGAGAAGTCGAACTACTGGGCAGACCGCAATCAGACGCGTTCGCTTACAGTCGACAAAGTTGGGGCCTTGGCCGCCCACCCCATCGAGCAGGCTGAAGTTTGGACTACGTTTGTTGGCATGTCACGCATTGTTCGTTCTACGGAGAAAGGAGCATAGAATGATGGCAAGAGGACCTCAGGTTGAGAGTCGTTACAATAAGGAAAGCCACATGAAGCATTGTCACATGGCTTTCATGGCAAGAACGCCATTGAATATAACAAACACTGTAGCAACTGTTGGCTTGGGGGGAGATAGACCGGGACGACTGAGGAAGGAAGATGGGAGCTGAAAAGAGGCAAGAATTCAGTGATATACGCACAGAAGATCAAGACACCACTGTTAATCTCAAGATTTCATCGATTATGATAATACTCCCGGCGTGTAGTCTTCTGCTGCTGGACGATTTTAGCTGCTCGTTTGAAATTACAACGTTCCGGTGTGTATTGTATTGAAAACCAGCTAGGCGATTACTACGACTATTTTATCGCTAATGAGAGAGGAATACTGTCACCGAACATACCCAACGACTAAAATGTCGGTCATGACCGAGGCTTATCTGGACTTCAAGCTTGATACCTGGCTAGACTGATGATTCATGCCGACTATAGCCCCAAATAGATAGCTGAAATCTAGGTATAAGTAGCAGTCTAATTGCCCGTAACTGCACTGAATCAGGTAACCGCTTCCATAGCTGCTCACATTGTGACGAAAACAGAAGGCTGGAAGCCAAGCCAGAATCGAAAAAAGCCCATTGCAACAGGCACGGACACATTTTACAATTAAGAAAGTTCCCCATGGATACCTGACAAAATGGCTGGAAACAAGGCTTAGATGGGTCTTGTGCCATCTGCCATCTCTGTCTCTGTCGTGCCGCAGCAATGCGTGCTTTGTGGGTAACGACGAAGCTGATAGCAACGGGATTGACCTAAACTGCTTGTGCACTGTCCACTTGAGGACCAAAAGACTACACTTTCGATCTACTTAACTGGTTGGTGGCAATCCGTAAAGAGTTTATCTCGATCGGAGCCGAGGCATCGGTGTGGCGTCGAGAGGGCGTGGCGTCAAGCTGTGTCGTCCGACCCTTGCAACGACTAGGCCAAGTACGGAAGGTATGGGAATGTTATCGATTTTACCCCGCTACAATCTAGATTGTAGATTCTCGTCTGCAATCTCCGTAATGCCCCTGTCTCTCAACCGGATCCCATGAAAACTCCGAGCAGGGAACTTTCACTCGGAAGACCGTTCTCTAGCTGAACGCTATACGCTAACTAATGCGAGAACTGGGGCTTTCTAACAGCGCAGTCAGCACCGTTCAATCCAGATCTGGCTAGACAAGCGTATAGACTTTCTATCCAACGCCTAGCTCGCATGCACTCTCATCACTCCAGTCCGGCTTGGGGAGACGATCTGGTCGATCTAGCAGCTTCGGCAACTTCTCTCTAGGGTATCGCCCGGGGGTATTCGGCCGGTCTCAGCAGAGGGTCTAAGCGTCGCTACTGCTGATCCGGCCCCCCAATTCTCACCCTGCGACAGCCGTGGGCGCGTGACATGCATTCTTATGTTCAACTCAACATGGGAAGTAGTAGGCAACCCTGTTCCGACGCCCATGTTGGTTAGTTTCCTTCAATTCTGCGAAAAAGACAGAACCAACACAGCGGGGTCTTACTGCACAAACATGACCAACAAGGCAAAGATGACCAACTGAGAGATACGCAGTTCGCGCCCCCGTTGGAGTTGACACATGAAGACCGAGGCTTGTTTAACACGGGATGTGTACGACCAATGCGCCGAGAGCGACTCAAGTACGATATCCTCCTTCATAGCGAAATTAAATTCCTCCAGTCGCATCGTTTCGCATTAATGTGAAAAGCAGTCCCGTTAGCAAGTCGACGATAGTCGTTCACAAAACTGAATAGCATCAAATCCAAGGATTTCACACGCACTGTGTATAGTATGAGCAATGGGAAAGAGGCATGTGGCGGGTCGGGCTGACCGACAGGCCCAGGCAATACCGTAATAGGCCAAACTTTCATAGAATGCAGACGAGATAATCGCGACGAGCCAATTGCGATCTTTGTCCTCGTCCATTGAGTTGACGAGCTCCAAGCATGGTCCTAGATTCAGTAGAAGCTACAAGTATTACCCCTCATTTTAATGTCATGATGAGCAGGTTGATTAGCTAGCTCGTCGGGTATTCTCAGACCGTGAACTTACACCTCATGTCACGTCTTTATGTAGGCTTTATAAAGACTAGAACAGCAATAAATGCTGCAAGCTGAAAACCGACAGCTGAACCTTGGTCCGTCCGACTAGCGGCAAGAGTATACCTACCGTCACGCCGTTATTATTGCGAGTACCGTCGTTGAAGTCTTTGACTACAGAGATTGTCATATTTGATCTTGGGTTTGTATTTCTTCTTTCTATAGACCCCAGAGACTACGAATAGGTAGATGTTAAGACATTCGCTGTTTCTACAGTTGCTGATGAACTGCTGTAAGTATTTACACTTCAAAATTAATATAATAGGACAGTATGATTGAGGACATACTCTGGAGAATAATTCAAATAGTTCTCGATAGGATCTGTACCATTTTGCTTCCGACAAGAATCGTGGGCCTTACAGGGCCTATTCTTTAAATGAATCGGCGTATCAGCCAGCCCATCGTCATCCTTAAGGCAGCCATCAATCCACTCTCTACCATTCCACCCGTCGAAGGAGAATGTATGAAATAAGCCGAACCAATAGCCAATCTCGTAAATTGCGGTTACACCATCATTGCGGTCTAGCCCTTCATCACCACCAGTACCCAGCCGAAGAACGCAGCCGTCTAAGAGAAGCCCATCTTTCTCAGATAATTCGCTTGGGAATGTGCAATGACCATATGGTGTATGTTCATCCATAAAATACAAGTTAACTGACTTTGCATCGCCCACATGAAGGCTTTTCTTCATAGCCTGTCTATCGCGTTGAGTTATCCAGCTGGGGTTGATGGTCCAGTTGGCACCCTTGAGATAAAATTGAATACGGGCTTGGGCAAACCCCTTATTAAGTACCTCTTCCTGCTTCTTCAAGGTGTCATTCTGGATAAATGGTCAGCAACTTGATGGGATTCTCTAGATTTAGGTGTCGTACACTGGTAAGGTAGGCTGGACTTGTCTTTGAGCTTGCAACCATATGAATATCAAGTCGACGTCAATCTTGTCATTCACTCCTCGGCGGTAGCTCTCCTGCCCGTAAGAAGCGGGTTCGGCTTTCTAAGAAGACGTAGCCAACGACATTTCTAGACTTTATGCTCCACATATCGCGTCGTCATTGTTGTCAATGTCTTGTACTGCTGCCATTACCATAGGTATTAGGGCAGCACACATAACCGAAATTAGACGCATTTTTCTAGAAATGAAAGAATTAAGTTCAATAAGTATTCAAATTCTTCAAAAACCTGGTTCTTTAGGAAGGTTGAGCTGATATGTGATAAGTAAGTCCTTAGTTTTCTTTTACTAGAAGATAGCGTCTCTTATATAGTTTCCCTGACAAACACTCCTTGATATTGGCCAGAAGTTTTCCGTTCGTGCGCATACAAAAAGGGTTAAAATGTATCTGGAAGGGTTTCGGATGAGAAACTCAGAAAGCGGATGCTATTCGAATCAGTAGAAAGCGCCCAGCAACAAGTTCGCGATTCAGATGTCGCCGGCTCGAGGTAAAGATTTGTACTATGCGTTTTTCATTCTTGATTGTCGATCTTCAAGCAAGAAGAGCATAACTACCGGCGTGAGTCATCTAGATGGCAGCACGTCATCACTTATAATACTTCAGCCGGGTCGTTAGCTTGCAAAACTGCTAGTAAATACCAAATTGCTACATATCGTCTCGTCAATTGTTATTCAAAGATGCAGCTGATGCAGCGCCTAATTTAATCCTGGTAGCGTAGTGGCAAACTTTAGCCAGCGCTTAAAGCGACGTATTGCCCTCGGACCGCCGTGCGGCGCTGGCAGCTCCGAATCTATTGTCATCTCCCACGAGTCTCCTACGCTGATGCTCTTCGGAATTGTTTGGGGGTTTGTCGAATGTATTTCCAGTGCTGTAGATGCAAACTGTTGTACAATGAGGGACACAAGCCTTATTCTAACGTTGTGATCATCAAGCTGAGCTCTGGTCCTGCCTATCCATGCTCCCACGTTATCATGCACCGTGGAGCCCTAGGTGGATTCAAGCATGTCAACCTAAATCCGGTGCTCCGGTTCGGTGTGCAAGTTGATGGCCCAACACTAAGTTTAAAAGGATTGATTCTGTCTTTCGGCGACAACAATTGGCTCCGGATCGTCTCACTGCAATTTTCATGAACCCTTTTGGTTTTCTAGTCGGCCCTCTGGCCGGAAAGTCGTGGTGCGTGCCTCTGGTCCAAGAGACACCCTGTGGTAGTCAATTGGTTGTGATATGGAGTCGGCGTACCCGTTGATGTAATTCAGCGCGCACGCTCAGCGCAGCCCTGCGGAATAGTCTGTAAAAGTCGCGGTATATGTTGCAACAAACGCATAGAGATGGATGGTTTCTATAAAAGAGCAATTTAATTACTTTATGAACCCGATGAAAATGGCCCTACAAAGCACCCCGGCAGCCACGCCGATTGTCCTCATCTGTGACTGACCGTATGTGAGCTTTGTGGTGTTGAAAAATTGCCTTTGATAGTACATATTAGCAGAGAAAATTTAGCAAACCAAGATGGCCGAGTGGTTTAAGGCGGTGCATTTAAGCTATTTTTAGCACTGAACTGCACTATCGAAAGATGCCTGGGTTCGAACCCCAGTCTTGGTAATGCTTTGATTTTTTTTATTCCTCTTTTTTTTTTGGGCGTGCATGTGTGTGCGCATAGCGTCTTAAATTTTTTTTTCCTTTTTTTGGTTTGCTTGTGCATTGTTCTTCCATTGGCATTGCGTGGGAATAAGCAATGATTTTTTTAATATCTTGTTGGAATAATCCTATTAAAGAACTAAGTACTGTGTAAAGAAGCCTCTGAGCCGACAAAATTCGGAGTAGAATTCACGCTAACTACTCCGTACAACTCTTCCCTATCACATAAACCAATTTGACCTCTTACTGTATACATAATATATGGGGATCCAAACCTGCTCCACCGACAGTGTTCATCTACAGTATGTGACGATAACTTTTGGCATGGTTGCTGGTGCCATAAGTTGCACCGATACTCGCTGGCGTTGACGGTACCTGAAGGCAAAAACTTATTGCCCCCCACCATAGACGTTGTTGTTTCTTTCCAGGTTATCATCTCCCATGGGGTTTGAGTTCCAATCATCGGGCCAGGCCATTAGAGGGGGACATCTGCGACTGAAGGGACCTGACAATGGCCTGAACACACATCGTCGAATTTCATTGATAAGCGACTCCGTATCGCCTTGTTGGCCTTGTAGCACCTGCATGTCGCGACCGCGCAGCGAATCGGGCAGATCGGCCTGCAGCATAGGCTCAGTGCGGGACCAGAGTACCGCAGCGACTTCAGAAATGTCTTCTCGAACGTATGGCGACGCGGGTCTTGCATGTCCACGGAAGAGGGCATCCCACATACGATACCACTTGTCCCCGTCGGATTCTCGACGTCGAGGTGCCAGGGACTGGAGTTTTTGTCGTTCCTCACCATCTAGCGAATCAGGTTTGTCCATAAGACTGCAGGTCGGCGTTTGGAAATGATCAAGAAACGGGGCCTCCTCTGTCCAGGACTCCCAGCAGATGGCACAGTAGTAGTTTAAGGAGTGGCATCGCTCAAGGTGCTGCTTGACATCGCCGTACCTTTTCAGGCTATACTTGCGATAACAGCGGAAGTACTTAATGGGGTCTAATTTGTAAAAGGGACAAGCCAAGCTGCATAACGGCAATTCTCCGTTGTGGGCGTCGGGGGGGTCTCCGTTAGGGTCACTACCACCATCATCGCCATCGTCGTCGTCCGGGTCGCCATTTCCCTCATTGCCATAAGTTCCTACCCTTCGTTGCCTTTCCTTTGATGCCTTGCCATCTTTTTTCGATTTGCTGAAGTGGCCATTGTTGGACCTACTGGAGTTGCTGCAGGTGGTCGGCCCAGGCAAGTTTTGGCTCCAGCGGCTGCAGTGACCAACTACAGCAGCCCAAGCACAGCCGAGACACTGGATCCAAGGTAGCACACGATTGAAACAAGGAATGATACACGCCCACGGACGCGACAGCGACTCATGCTCAGGATTCGCTTGGTCCTGGGGAAGGAGTCTTAGAGTTGAGATGGGTAATTTGCCTGAGATGGCCTTTGACGGGACCCTGATGGTTGTGCCGGCCGGTACGGATCCAACTGCAGCATTGTCAACTAGTAAATACAAGTTAGAGCCATGTACGGAGTAGCAAGCGAACACTCGCACTGTCATTGCGTTTGGTACTACGTGCCACAGTGCACATGCAGTGACCCCTTCTACCGTCCCTACGTACCTTGGCACCAGGATATGGCCTGGTCCGAGCTGGTGCCATGCAGGAACCCGGTCCAATATCGGACGGCAAGACTGATCTTGTAGCACGAGGTCTTTGCGTCTTCAATTTGTCCATGGCCGGGCATCGGAGCGACCGCCCTAGTTTTTCTTGCTTCGAGTTGTTTCCGCTGTCTGGAAAGCCGACGCCGAACCGCTCGGCAGTTCTTTACATGTTTCACCTTGTGTCGCCTGAAGGTCGGGAGTCCAGGTGAATGATGAAGCAGAAAGACAACCAGGTGAGCAATTGGAAGAATTGGCACGATGAAGGCGGCATAAGTGAACGACAACATTTTCGATCAAGTCGCAAAAAAAAAAAAAAAAGACGCGAAAGTTCTTTAAAGCGTGTTACGCTGTTGCATACCTCGCCGAGGCCACTTAATTCGAAAGAAAAGCCTCTTTTACTTTGCGGCACACAAGGCGGCCGCTTATATGCAAAACAGACGCAGTGAAAGGAGGGAGATGGTGTGCAGCGATTTTATTTATCGTAGGACAAAATTTATTAAGCCGCCAAATCTGTCGAGCACAATTGTGACGTGACGGCGCAGAGCAAATGTCGCATTTGTGGGAAAACAGACCGAATCATCGACACAGCCGACTGACTGCCTCCTGCGGAGTCGCAGGTCAGCGTAGGCTGTTCTTCAGGCAGATTTTGAGGTTAGCAACCAGCTGACACTCCAAAGCAGCGAGCATTACCGTTTAGTATAAATCAACTTTGCCTTCCAAGCGATCAACACAGCCCATCATGCTACGTGTCATTTCCCTGGCTCCAATACGTTCCAAAATGTGTATGAAAACACACTCACACTCAAGAACCAGGTACGACGACACCGGGCTCTGGCGGTACATTTGCGCAAGCCAGCCCGTCGTGCCAGGTTTTTCACAATTGTGTAGAACGCTGGCAAGTATCTGAACATTTGTGTAGAACGCTAGCAAGTATCTGAACATTTGTGTAGGCCGAGTCCCGACTCCAACTCCGACACTTTTGTGTGGATGGCCGTGGGCGAGAGTATATACAAAGAACGAAAAGGGGCGAGTCCCTTCTGTCTGTCAAGCATTGATTCTCCTCCACCACGCGAGCAATCATGTCTACATCTACACAAGCTACGTAAGTCTGCCATCTGTCCGTATCGTGTTCGCTCTGACATTGGTTCCGCGTCCAGGAAGATGTCGAGAAAGCCTCGCCAGGCGGATCAAACTCAACTAGAATTAAGAGAAACCCGGCTGCAGCATTGGCTGTCAGATGATGGCCTCGTTATTCAAGCAAGGCTGCTGGCCGTTGTCAACAGCACCACCACTGCGCCCCAGCCACAACACCGCCGCGGCACACGACGAGACGTGAGGGTTACCGCTGGGGAGCGTGTCGGCGGTTAGCAGGCATCGGCTTTATTTGCTGAAAGCAATGACATCACTCACGGAGGCCGCAGCTGGAACGGCGTGATGGGACATAATGGAGCACTGGAAAACATGTTCTTCACGGGATATGGGGCATTGGAATGGCTTGCGTAGTACTCCGTATTTTGAGTGCTGATCAATAAAGCCGGGTATTTTTTTTCGGCCACTGTGCCAGTATAATCATGCTGGGCTCCTTATCCTTTGCAGCAGAACCTACCACTGAAGATCCCCCCCCCATGCCCTATAACCAATGCCTGGCGTAGCGGCTCACCCCGTCAGGCTGCCACGGTTTCCTGCCGACCCCACTTCGTGCCGGGCCAAGCCGATGTCAACGTCGAAGCACCGATAGTTAGTGACGGGCCCTCGTAGTACAGCCACACTAACTACGGAATACTCCGTAGTTACTGTAGTTGGCACACAATTGTGTGAGTGAGCCAAACCCTTCAGGCGCAAGGGTATATGGTTAATCCACTTTCCATTCCCTGCACATCCCCCGCTCTCACTAGTGATGGATGATACAAAGCTGATAACTTGTCGCTCACTGCCACAAACTATCGACACGACTCAACAGATGGCATCATGCGCACTCTACAGGATGAACGTTACGGGCATGATTCTACACGTCATCAGGCATATTCAGTAACGGCCAATCTTATGGTCGGCGGAGAGATGATGAACGATGCCTGCACGCCTGGCCCGTTAGTGACTTCGTCGCACATAGACTCCCCTTTTCCGCCTGACATTGACTTCAAACTTGACGGTACCAATTGTATAATCTGGTCCGACAGTGCCAAAGAAGGAAATGGCTTTGACGGAATCGAGCCATCAAATAAAACCTCTGCGCATTCCTGCGAGTTCCACGACACGGATCACAATCACCGTACCAAACCCGGTTTGGGGTTATCTGGTAAACGTCTTGCTAGAACCAATGAAGTAAATTCGTCCCACGTTGCCTGTCCATGTTACGCTGACGAACAATGAGCGATAGAGCTACATACGGCTAAGATGAACTCTGTTAGAGGCGGGCCTCGGGAAACAAACGAAGTGGGTTCATCCAGCCCATCCATGGCAGCCAAAACGACAGAAGCTGGGCCGTCTGGCCGTGCATGCAAGACAGCGGATGACGGCAGCAAGTTTGCTTGCCCATTTTACAGACTATTACCTATGCGCCACATAGACTGTGTCAATCTACGATTGACTCGAATTCGAGATGTCAAGCAGCATCTCTATCGACGACATACCCAAACGACCTTCTACTGCCCACTGTGCTACCAAAGCTTCACCTCGCCCCACTCCCGCGATGGCCATATACGATCTTTATACTGCAAGCGTCGACATCCGTCTGCGGTCGATGGCATCTCAGAGAAGGCCCGCAGACGTTTGAGCGTGCGCGTGGACCGAGACTTGCCGCCGGACAAACAATGGTACACAATTTGGGACATCCTATTCCCCGGAATGCCCAAACCGACCACACCTTACCTGGGCAGTGTAATCGACGAGATTTTCGGCATGCTGCGTGATTTCTGGAGGCAGGAGCATACTCGAATTGCTGTGGACTTGTTTAGTACGACATGTGCACCACGCGGGAACCATCAAATGATCGAGACGCTGGTAACAGAGATTTTTGATAAGGTTCAGGAACGATTCCAACAGCAGGCTGGTAACTTATCCGTCGTGGAAGAAGATTTGAGCAGTTATTCGGACGGAACACAGATTTCCTCCGGCCAAAGCTCGTTGGTACTGTCACCGCCGCCTGCTCGATTCGACCAAATTATACCACAAGGCAGTCATGAATATCTTGGATTGGAACAAGATATACCTCATATGGTGGATACAATGCCTCTGGCCTGTCAGTCGTGGAGTTTTCCGGGCAACATTACGGACTCTCCAGCACACTACTCAGACCTCAGAGACGTG